ACAGAAGACCAACTAAAACTATTGATGAACATATCAGAAGAAAGTCAAAGGCTGGGCTTGGACATTAACTTTTTCAAAACCAAAATTCTGGTATTCCACAAAAACACCCATGAACAAATTCACCTAACATACAAATAAATGGTATCACCCTTCAGAGTTCCCAAAGCTTCATATACTGGGCAGAGAGCTAAATAGTCAACTAGACCACTCAAAAGAAATTTGAAGACGCATTGAAATAGCAAGATCTGGTTTCATGAATATGCGTAAAATGCTCTGTAACCCCAAGCTATCAATCTCAATAAGATTGAGAACACTAAAGTGTTATGTGTGGTCTTTATTACTATATGGCTGTAAGACCTGGACATTAAAACAGTATGACGTCAACAAATTAAATTCATTTGAAATGTGGATGTACCGCCGAATATTAAGAATAAGCTGGACCAGCAGAACTACGAATGAAGAATTTCGTGTGTTGAGGCCACATAGATATCGAACTATCAGTATTTGTGGAGTTGCATGTGTATTTAGTATTGTATAGGATTTTCAAATATATGGGACATTTTTGTTTATATTTCTTAATAATTGATTCTATATGTTTATATTGAAAGAAAAAATATTCTATTACATAGATACTTATGCTGATGATCGACACACCATACACCAAATTTGATCATTGTTGACAGGATATCCAATACTTACCTGCTATCCGAATTACAACCTTATTTTCTCTTAGACTATTTCTTTCGCTTTATGACCTATAAGAGCACATCTTATCTAAAAAACACATTAGAAATTCCTCATTCTCAAACCTTTTGGTAATTATTTTTGTGGAGCTTGTAACAATTGCATGCTTTTTGTACATACTCATTTTAAAATTTGACTAATTGTTATATTTTTACTGATTTATGGATTTTAGTTAAGGTATTGTGGTCTACTTAAAAAAGAATATGATCAAAGAATAATCATTTATACAATTTGAATTAAACATTTTACATGGTTATAAAAATCAAAATTAATATTTTATTATTGGATTACTGTATTAATGATTTATTAATAAACCATTGATTTTCCAAACGAGATGAACCCTTTAAATTAGTTTATATTTATATTATTTAAAAAGACGGAAAACGTTACCTTCTCTTTTTACTTTGCTAATGATATTTTAATAGCTTATGACCTCTTTAAAAAATGAGCTTGAGATAATGTGTGACATATTGAAAAGTCTGGTTGACTTCATGTTAATCCACTACACGTTACCATGTGACATCAAGCATGATCTGGAATTGGATCTGGATGGGTTAATATTGTTTTCATGTTATGCTTCAAATATTTTTTCGAATAGTGTCCCAGATAGATTTTTTTATTTATGTCTCGGAGATATTTCCAGACTTATCTTTTTCCGAACATTTATATTTCCAGTTTTTTTAATATTTTGCTATTAATCATATAGAAGGTTGGAGATTTGTGTAAGATTCTCGGATGTTTGGTTGTACGTCCACCTAGTAAATCCTCGAGCAGAACATAATCCCAGATAAGCTGCTAAATTATGGAGAATCTAATACAGTAACTGACACAATTACTTCAGTAAGTCCTCTACCAACATAGAATCTCAAATAAAGGGCGAACTAGCATCACCATACTTATGTTTAAAAAGGAAGATAAGCAGCTTCTCCCGAATTATTCAGGATTAAACTTACTAAAAACAACATTAAACCTTACGACAAAGATTATAACAAACAAGATTAATGGCCTTATATATCTAGAGGACGAACAACAAGGATTCCGATCAGGCAGATCTTGCACAGATGCTGTCTTTAAGATGGTATGAGACGGTATTTGTCTAAGACAAATAACAGAAAAATCAATATAATACAATAAGCCTGCCTACACATGTTTCATTGATCTAGTTAAGACATTAGACCGTGTCCACTTAAAAGACACTATACATCTCATATATGATGACAAATTCCTCACAATCTAATCCAAACTATGGAAACCATACATAAAGAGAATCAAATTCAAGCTAAAATACACGGAGGACTTACCAATCCAATACTAGCTGGTTACCAATCAAGTATCAGCTGGAAATGGCATTCGTCTGGAACGAATGAGACAGCTGACACCGTTGCTCTTTAAACATTATTATGGATTAGATAAAAAAGAAACTGCGCAAAATGAGAGGATATAGGATGGGAGATAAGTAAATTAAAATCTTGTTGTTATGCAGATGACGCAGCGTTGACTGCTGAAAACGAGGATGACCTACAGCGTCTCCCACATCAATTTAACCTCACAGCCAAATCGTTCAACAGATGAATGGATAGATTTTCCAGCAAGGCATGAAGTTTAAATACTTAGGCGGAGAACTATCAGGTTATGGCGACGTTGAAGCAAAAATAAGAGAAGCAAAAGGGTTTAACGTCTAAGCAATATAAAGTGACGTAATAAAAATATTGGCATTGAGGCTAAATCGAAAATATACAAAGCTGCTATGACATACACCGCAGAGACTAGACGAGGCACAACCAAAGATTGTTTGAAATAACAAAAATGGAGGCACTTCGTTGTATAGCTGGAAAGACTCTTCTAGACAGGGAATTAAGTGAAACCTCAGGAATTCATGCGAGGTAGACGATATTAACGGTTGGGCTTAACAGGAAACAAACTGGAAAGAACATATTAGCAGAATGGAAGAAAGAAGAATGGTGAAAATCGTTCGAGATAAATTGGAAAATGGTGGAGCGACAATCTACGAGGTCTCGCTATTAAATAACGAGACTGCTTATGTAAAAGAGTTTTATTTTAAAAATTATTTTACAATCGATTGATCTCCTTCAATATATTCCCCTTCCCTCGCCATACACCGTTCCATTCCTTCTTTCCATTGGTCAAAGCAATGCTGGAAGTCTTCTTTTGTTAGAGCTTTTAGGAGCTCCGCCGTTTTTTGCTTTACTTTTTCCATCGACTCGAACCGGATTCCTTTTAAGGCAGACTTGAAACAGGAAAAAGTCACAGGGTGCTAAATCAGGCGAGTACGGCGGGTGTTCGAGCACTGTAATGCCTCTAGCGACTAAATAACGCTTTACAGACAGCGGGTTATGGGTAGGTGCGTAGTTCTGGTGTAAGATCCACGGCTTGTTTTTCCACAACTCCCGTTTCTTACGAACTTGCTCTCAAAGCGTTGCCAAAACTTTCAAATAGTAAGTTTGGTTTAGAGTTTGACCCCCTGGAACCCATTCAGCCATCACGATGCCATTTATGTCGAAAAAAAAAAATTAACATGGCTTTAGTCTCCGAATGCTCATTCGACGATATTCGCGCACAATTTCATTTATTTTGGTCACTGTTTGCGGAATTGAAACAGAGACAGGTCGACCTGGACGTTGGTCGTCTTTGGCGCTCTATCGGCCTTCAGAAATCGTTTATACCATTCGAAAACACGCGCACGAGAAAAAAAATTCTCACCATAGGCCTCTTTCAACAAATTATAGCAGTCAGTCGGAGTTTTTTTTTTATTTAACGAGAAGTTTCACATTAATCCGTTGCTCATGTTTTTCGTCACACATATTGTTTCGGCACGAGAAAAAAACACGTTCTTTTCTAACCTCTACAGAAAAAATTCTACTACAGCGACAAAAACGTGTTTTCGTACTGGAAGAATAGACACTTTCAGCTATCCAATGCTGCATTTGTTTCCCACTCTTTCCCTCTAGGACGCCTTCTGCGCGCGCAGTCTCGTTCTTTAATAGTCAGATCTCGTATCTGTCCAAAAAGTATGCTATTTTCGTTCATAACTTCGCGCCGAAACGTTCCGGTAAAATTGCGGGGTATGAGCGTTACCAGTAACTACTCACAACCTTGTATACCATAGTCAGCAAGTGAACATGTCTAGTTCGTCATTAGCATGTTTTTGTTTACATTATCTTGCCTTCGTCGCATTTTGTTAATGTTTTGCTGAAGCTCTTTAAATGATCGTCAAAGATAAATGTTATAAAGTAGATTCCCTCCTTTTGGCCGACCTTCTAGCGCAACAAAAGGGGAAAATATGGAACGTGTGAGATTTACGGTGGAAGAAAATCGTTGTTTGACTTCTTGATAACTAGAAAGCGATCTTAGAGTTCTGAAAACTTTTCATTAACCTTGTTAGTCGGAAAGTTTAAACATTACTAAGATATGTGACCAAAATCTTGGTCTTAGTTGAGATCATGTATTTTTCCTCTTCAGCGAGAATTTTAAAACAAATTTCTACCGTTTTATAGTAGGATTAAATGGAAATGGGATGTTTGTAATATTAGTAGTCCGTGTCAAAATTAGTTACATTAAGAAAGTAATTGTTTACATTGAAACAATGCCCTGTATATATATATATATATATATATATATATATATATATATATATATATATATATATTCCTATTTCTAGGATATATTAAATATAGTTATTTAATGATTGGACAAATTTTAATGAAATTCGAAGTTCGAATTGTTTTTAATTCCCCTTGTCCGATTATTCTCGATCGACGATGATAAAATAAAATGTTGGAAGCGTGGAGTAAAATATAGTTTTATTGACAGCTATTGAATTATTACACTATAGTTGTTGAGTTAAAAATTTATAATAGACTGCGTCCCAAACTAGCCCCGAAGCTAATTTTATAATCTCACTAAAATGTAATTTGAACCGAGGAAATGATTACAGGTATTTCCTCAATAATACTAGGCAATAGTTTGCAGGAAGTTGAACAAACTGTAATTAAGCTACTAATCGATATGTTTCACAATTATACACTGTGAAATTATACAAATTTAGGAAATTAAGATTAATGTGAGATTACAAATTAATGGTCTAATTTTTGATTGAACAATGATAAAGTAAAATGTTTATGTAAAGTTATTTTTATTGTATTAAAACTAAAGATCCATATTTCCGTAAATTCAAAAATCAGTAAAAATATAAAAGTCTCCTAAAAGTTTCCAACCTAACATTTTTACCAATAAAGGAACAACCCCTCTTGCTGGAGGACCTGCTCGAACAAGAGAAACGGGAACAAGAGAAGTTGCAGAATCAACCTTCTAGTCAAGAAGTTTCTTCATCAACTGGAAACGAAAGTGAATCAGCGTTGCTCAGCGACCACGATTTCGAGAGACTAAAGGCAGACGTATTCAATACCGGCCCTGTCACCAGTTTACCGTCAACAAATAATCAAGGTATGTATAAAATAATATCGATTGATTTAGTATTAATTTTCTGGCGCTTATACTTTTTGAATCATTTGTGCATGTTCTAATGATTTTGCTTTCTGTCTATTTTAACATTTGTACTTACACACTAGCGCCTGATTAGTGACTATGTACTGTTTTCTATTCTATCATCATTGCATCATCTTCATCATTGGGACTTACAGACCTCTTAAGTTTTCTACCCCATTTTCTTCGTTATTTTCTTCCGACCGTAGTCTTCCACTGGAAAGAAGTTGTGATCCTTCCGTTATGCGTTACGCTACGAGATTTATCTTCCGTAACTTTGACCTGTCATATATATTTCCCTCTAGTTGCGTAGTGGATCTTTCCGTGATGTTCATTGTTATCACTGTCAGTTAGTTCATTTGAATTATTTTAAACGTAATTTTGAATTTAGATAAAAATTGTTCACTAGATTTGCATATGTATAAGATAACAGAATCTGTTGATTTTCTTCATTGACCTACTTTGATTTTTATGGGTAGACGTTTGTTAGAAATGCGATCCGGTACAGCATTTCTTTGTGCTTGTAATGGTATCTCTGATTTCTTTCTGGTTTATCGTTTAGAAAGAAGTTGTGACAATTATTTAACTAATGATGGTATTGTCCGGTGCACTTTCGACATTTTAGATGATTACCTCATTAAAGCCAATAAAAAACGTTGGGTAGTTACTTAGGTGTCAGGCAGGGATGCATAATCTCGCCAACTCTGTTTAATATCTACAGCGAACACATTATGCGAAAGGTACTAGACGGATGGAAGGGCGGAATATCAGTAGGAGATAAAAAAATCAATAACTTGAGATATGCTGATGACACTTTAATAATCGCGGCAAATTAGGAAGAAATGGAAGACATAATGAGATGTTTGGAGGAAAAAGCAAAACATATGGACTAAAGCTAAATAGGAGTAAGACAAAGATCATGATAGTAGACAGAGCTCGGAATAACATTAAAGAAATTGGGGGCTTTGAAGTAGTAAATACTTTTATATACCTGGGGTCACTAATATCAAATGGCGGAGGGTGTGACAGAGAAATATGTAGAAGGTTGACTATTGCTAGAACAGCCATGATGAAACTGATAGCAATTTGAAAAAATTCTAGCATAACAATACACACAAAACTAAGGCTGGTAAGGGCGCTCATTTTTCCCATAGCCACATATGCATCCGAAACGTGGACCTTAGAGAGAGCGAATAAAAATAAACTGGACGCTTTTGAAATGTGGGTATACCGCCACATGTTGAGAATATCCTGGATTGATCATCGCACTAACGTATCGATATTGGAACAACTTAAAGTAAAGGATAGATTGCTTAAACAAATACAATAGAAATATTTGCAGTATTTTGGACACATTGTTAGAAGAACAGGCACGATGGAAAAACTGATAGTCGAGGGTAGAGTTGAAGGAAAAAGACCTAGGGGAAGATCTTCAAGCCGTTGGGTAGATCAAACAAAAATATTGATTAACCAAGGGTTACATGAAGCCGAACAACTAGCCCAGGACAGAAGGAAGGAGGGAAATAGTAAAAAAACTGTGAAGGCATGATTGTGTCACCACATACCAAAAGGGGTTAGGACTGAAGAGTTCTTTTAGTTCACTCACCTAAACATTTATTAATGTAAGTTTTATAGATTACAACAATTATGTAGTATGGCATTTTTACCAGGGAGATCAATTGATAATTGTTCCGATTCCAATTGCATCTTTAACCCTGATTTAAGCAGCTAATGTCGATGCTTATGCTTACTAATCCATGGTTGAGATAATGTGGTTGGGCGGGGCCTTTTTTTTTTCATAGGCTGTCATACAAATTTTCATACATCTTCCATTAATTCATGATACATATTTCAGAATTCTGGAATCTCTATTGTACAGGTATAATGGTCTTTTGGGAGTCGCTTGGTAGTCTCTAAAAAGTGTTTGCTCGATGCGATGCCTCGCAGTTATGCAAGATATGGTTGACTGTTTCTGGTTATCTGCTACAGAGTATGTAGCTTAAATCTTAATGAATTAAATCTCAATGAAACAGCCCAGTGTATGAGGTGTGTCTTGATTGGTTTGATTGTTGGATTGGTTGGATTGATTGGAGTTAGTAAGTAAAGATAAGACTTCCTTATCTTCTTTTTCATTCGAATTAAATGTTTGGTATACTGCTTTCTTACTTGCCTTTTTTCATTCTTTTGTCGTTTAGTTGGGTTTCGTACGTTTTCGGGTAAATTTTATATTGTTTCGACCAGATCGTGGATACTTCGTTCAATTTATGCCCTTCCAGATTCTTGAACGTGGTATAAAATATTTTTGTTTGCTTTATGCTTATTTTCAATCAAGTTATCAACCTCTAGACTGGATTTTCATTTGTAACACATTAGGTTTCCATGTAAACTTACTAAATTCTCCATTTGGTTCTTTCGAAAAATCAGCTGTGATGGGATAGGCCTTTGGGGCAGTAGCTAAAATTATTTCATCGCCTTGCGCTTTGAGTTCTAATACATGTCATCTAATGTGCATTTAAATACGTGTCTAATTATCCGATTTTTTTGGCAGAGTGAAATTACATACACATGTTTTTTAAGGGCGAATTGTATTTTTACTATCGGGTTTTTAGATATATCATTTATACAGTTGATACTACAATTTAATATACTTTTCATATTTAATATCAAAGAGGTATGTTAACTGCACAAAATCTTACCTGAAGCGTGTACGTCAACTGAAAATATTCACTAATTCATTGCAAAACCTTAAACAGCGGACAGTTTTATTGTCTCCAAATTACACAAAGTGGTCTGGTATCGTTAAGTAATATACAAGATACGCACATTGCAATTTTACCTTTATTTTCTATATAATCTTGAAAAAAATATACTAGAAGCTTTTGTATGGTTCTTCTCCTGGACCCTTCTTTCAGTGTCTCATTTCTTTTAAATAAGTATACTAAATAGCGACAAAAAATGTATGTAATTAATTATTTCTCACAGATAATCAACATATTACTCAATCAAATATGTTCCGACAGCATATTTATTTAATTGATGGGCATTTAAAATACGGAAGTTCGTAGATAATCCTGTTAAATTCGGATTAGAAACAATTATTTTGCTTTTTTTTTAAATTAAATTGCGACTAAAATAAAAAAAATTTATAACAAGTGCACGTTTGGCGACTTACAAACAGTTCACAATCGTATTGAGAATGAGGGTGATAATTCAAAGATCCAAAAACCCAGAATAGATAACAGACTCAACTGCATAAAAGCATCTGAAGATCAACATCTGTTGGAATCTGGCAACTGCTGATTTGACGATTACCAAATCTATCTCCTAATATATCAAAGGGCAATTGCCAAAAAAATTTCTAATAATTAACTGCAATTAATCTATAAAGAGGCAAATATTTATTCATTCTTCTTTTATATAAATCAAAAATTGCAGGATTCATAATATAATAATATAATCAAAATGAACTTTTCCAAAGTTTAATCTGTTTATATTTGAAGCATACAGGATATACATTATAAAAACATGCCAACGCTGCCAAACAGAAATTTTTTGTTCCATGGTTGACATTTGCGTCTATAATCAGCTTTTACTTTCGATAAACTCAACCGCAAATACAACCAATTAAGCCAACAGATCAACGAATTAAAGAAGCAAAAGAGATGTGGTTAGGGGATTGATGTAAGAAAGTAGAAGACCCGGGCTAAACATAAAGACAGAGAATTATACAAGAAAGCACAAGTATAATATAGAGGAAAACAATGAAATAGAGTTAGATACTGATAAACAAAAACAAATTTGGGAAAGATGTATGAAATTATTTGGGGATGACAAATAGAAGAAAGTCCCCAAGTTGATATAGACTACGACCTTACAATTCTTCCCTGAGAAGTAACACTGGTCATAACTGGTCCTCAAGTCTTTTTAACGTACATTTTGAATATACAAGGTGTGCCAAAAGAAGGGGGATAGTCGAATATTTCGCGAAATGAACATCAGATCAAAAAGCTGAGAAACACATTTTCAATATTTTTCAAAAATCGATGGAATGACACCAATGAGGGGGCTTTGAGGGGGCCAACTTTGAAATTATAAATATAAAACCACATGTTTTTCATGCAGATTAAGATTCCATGTGAGAAAGTAAATTTTTATCTGATTTTTTTTTCGATCCGCGATAGACGACGGCACTGTAATGACAGAAAACCCTATACAGATCAGAAGTCTGCAAACTAATTTTTATTGTACTGAATACAGAATTTTAAGAATGTTTTGTAGAATCAAAATATTAATAGCCATTACAAGCAAAAAAATGCAATAACTAATTTTGTCCAGCTAGCTTGTTCTGATCAAAACACTACGTTGCTATAATTTTCCTAGGCTATAAGGATAAAGTTTTTTTCCGATAGTAGCGCCATGTATCAATAATTCGAAAAAAAAAAGATGTTACTTATAAAATTAACTTATTTTTTTATGAGGAATCCAAATCTGCAATAGAAACGGTGTTTCCTTTAAGATTTTAAAGTTACCCACTCTTCGCTTTAGGGGGTATAACTGGGATCAGGTCAGATTCAAGTTTGATGTCTGTCATTCGATAGATTTTTGAAAAATATTGAACACATGCTTTTCAGTTTTTCGATATGATGTTTCGATATGATGAAATCCAACTCAGCTAGCAAACTGCAAGATCTAATAAGGGAACATCATCACAGATAAAAATCAAGAAATATGCATATGAACCAAATACATACAAGAACTCTTTGATGATAATAGGTCCAAATAACCTCCGTCCTACATATGTAATGACCACTTACCAATCACATCAGATGAGGTGGAAAAAACAATATCATAACTAAAAGATGCCAAGATCATGGCTAAAGTAAACGTTTATTGCTCTACCAAAGTAAACAAAATCCGTATCCTGCAATTATTTCAGGAATATCAGCCTAATAAGCCGCATTTTAAAGGAATTTCTAAAAATCGTACATCAAAGGATATATAGACTATGCGAAGAAAAAATCAGCCGTACACAGTTTGGTTTTCGGAACGCAGTGGGTACGAGAGAGGCTCTCTTTAGCATACAAGTGCTATTTGCACGATGCAAGATGTGAATTGCGATATTTATGCATGCTTTATTGATTACCATAAAGCGTTTGATACAGTAAGAGCGTTTGATATTAAAAAATATTAGAATAAACACCTGTGATCTAAGAATTATTAGCAATCTTTACTGGAACTCAACATCGTCTATTCGTACAGAGGCAAGAGAATCCGATGATATCAAAATCTAATGCCGACATAATGTCCGACAGGGATGTATACTATCACCCTTGCGATTTAACATATACTCTGAGGAAATCTTTCAAGAAGCGATAGAGGATGTTGAAGTCGGAATTCTAATTAATGGAACATGTATCAATATAATGATACATTGAAAATGTATGACACGGTGGTACTCGCTGACTCTCACAGGTGCTACCTGCAATAAAATTGAGGCCTCCGAAATGTGGCGCTTTATCGTCGAATCCTGAAGATATCCTATACGTACCACGTTACTAACCAGAACGTTTTATTAATAATGCAAAAAGGAAAAGAGTGGTTTACACAACAACAACAAATCTTTTCAGAGCACCAGTTTGCAAAATACAGATTGCCATGATGGTGGCCAACATCCGAAACACATAGGCACTACAAGAAGAAGATCTGATGTTCATTTTGCGAAATGTGTCCGCTGCATTTGACACACCCTCTATGTTTCTGAGACATTAATACTTAATCAAACTTAATCAAAAAAATAAACATTTACACTACATAAACACTATTGAATAAGAATTAATAAATTCGACATATCTAAGGTTCGAAACAATAATAGCCTCAGGTCGAAATTACCAAGTCTATTACAATTCGGAAAAATCGTTTTCATTTTTCAATTAGTTCTACATTTCTTTGCAAATAAAAGATTTCATCGCTATAACATTCTTTAAATTAGGTAATTAATATGTGTTTCGTTATATTATTACATTGTGTAATCGTTTTTGTGTGTTTAGGAACTACTAGCCATACAAACCAACCATGGCAACAGTTACAAAATCGGCAAATCCCTGCCCCGCCTGCCCAACCCACTTTGGAGGTTACAACCAGGGTACAAATGTTTAACGCCAATCTAATTGCTGCACCCCCATTGCCTCCGGAAAATATTGTTACGGAACAAGACAAGCAGACTCAGATGATGTATGAGCAGTGGTTGAATCATCAGAATAATGTTCTAGCCCAACAGTTGCGCTACTACGAGACTGAAGTCCAGAAACTTCGGAAGAGCAGAAAGGTAATATCTAATGTACACAGTTCCTAATGTTTATGAATAAAGAACATAATGAAGTTAAAGTATGTAGGCGATTATGATAAAAACACGTTTTTTTCTTGAAAAAAACTTTTATTTAACGTTTAATTTTAATCATTTTTATTTTTAATCCAGTTTTAATATTTTTTTGAATATATTATCCTTATTTTTAGTCACTGAATAGCAAACAGAGACAATTGAAAAAATCTGGTAACCAGCTAACCGAGACGGATGCAGCCGAACTCCAGAGAATATCAGCGGAACAAGCCATTTTACAGAAACATCTAGAATCGAGCAGAAAACAGAGTCGACAACACGGCATGTTAATACAGGTATCTATCAAGACATAGGCACTGCTCTTTATGTAGGTTGCACATATACAGTAGTTGTATTCGTATTTTAATCACCGAAATACTTGACGAGTACTTGATTATCACAATGATTTTACCTATAAGTATATGTAGTGCCAACACCAAAATATTTTTTTTATTCTTCTTGTTATGGTATCATGTTCACTGAAGGTTGGCAACAATCTCAGCAAAGTAATGTTTATCTTATACAGTTCGAAATGATGAACGTGAATACAAGCTATTTTTTTTCAGCCATGAACAATTCAGTTCTGCCTTGCCTTCTATTTACTATATTTCATTTTTTTATACCCATACTGATACTCTCTGTTCCCAATAAAAGTTTTTTAAGAAATAAATATCGTTATCTAGGCACTTTCTTGTATAATTTAAAAAGTCTTTTCGAAAGCATTTTCATAGTTGTTGAAACATACATACGTCTTTTTGTTGATGTCTACATTTTTGTAATAGGACAGATAATCCAAATTTTCCTTTTCCATTTCCTCTTGAAAACCAAATTATCCGTTATCTAAGTCTGCCTTTTTTTGTATACCACATATCTATCTTTCTGACTTTCGAATATACTTTAGCGTTGGGGTAGAGCATTAATTCAACAGGTACTTAAACCTTTTCCTCCCTTCGTTGCGGCTTTCCTAACCACTTTTCAGTAGTTATTTTTTATGTTCTTAAGTATGATTTTTCAACCCTGTTTCCTTTGTTTTTTCCAGTGCCATTCTTGTTACCTGATAAGTTACGGAGTGGATGTTCAATCCGTATAGGAAAAAAACTAATAAAACCTACTGGTCAGAAAAACTACACAACTTTTTTTTGTAAAGTTTTGTCTTTACGGTATAATTGACAAAATCAAACAAAATCCTGTAATAAAGATTAAATATCTTCAAAATACCACAAGTTTTTGCATGACAACGCTACCAGACTCCCAAGTGGTACATCCTTCTGCTTTTTCTTTTTACATTGGTGCTATGGTATGTGTTTACTGGGTTATGTTTAATGTTTGCGATTTCTGTGACCAGGTGACTCTCCATTGTTTTGGTGGTCTTCATGGTAGTTGTTTTTCTGCTGGCCCTCTCTCTTACAATATTACCTATTTTATCGTACTTCATTCCCGTTACAAGTTGATTCCAGTTCCTGCTTTTTTCTCCCCCATACGGTTGTTGCTTTTCTTAATTATTATAATCAAATAGATGTAGGTAGATGTGTCGATGATCTATAAAGAATATATTATCATATAGGAATCTAAATCAATGGGTATAACTAGTCATCTTCATTATTTGCTATTAGTAAAGCATCATCTGCGTAAAATATTAATGTTTGTCTTCCCTATTTTGGTCTTCCCTAGTTTGTACTCATTTAACATTCTTACTTAAATGCATTAACTACGTCACTATCTTTTTTGTCGAACTTTTTTGTTAAATCGACGAAGCACATGAAGGAAATAAGAAGGAACAACTGTTGTATTCGATAAATTTTTCTGCTCTTTGATAAACTATAAGTATGCAGTCTAGTATCGATCTATGATAAAGAAATCCTTCTTGTCCTTCATATTATATTATATTACGCCTTTTGAAGTGGACTATGCCTTTTAGGAAAAGTGTTTAGCTATAACTTAGAAAGTTTTTTGACTTATTGTTGCCAGTTGAGATATTCCTCTGTAGAGTGTTTGTTGATACCTTTGTTGAATATCGATCTATTGGTAGTTGTTTTCTGTTCCTTTTGTAAAATAGATTTTCAAATCAATAAAAATCGAAGGTATAAGCTTATGCACATTATATTATTACTTTTTTCGTTATATGAATATTTTTGTGTATGGCAATTTCTATGATAATCATAATCGAAGTCTATATGCAGCCTAGTGTTACATATAAGTATACATTTAACATCACAATATTCGGTTAATGATTAAAATAAGAATTATTTTTTTCACAGAAGATTTCTTAGAATTATTGTAAATGATACAATACACTGACCATTAAAGTTTATAGTAATTTCCTCTGTTAGCAACTTTTATGTATCAAGTGGAAGTGAGTTTTAGAAAATAGTTCTCACTGCCTATAAGTAGATGCACCCCTACAGAAAGTAGCAATGTCTATACCGTAAAACCAAATTTACGTAATTTTGTATTACCCTTATTGGTCTATATGAAGGAATACAGAAACAAACATCCTGCACCAAAGCAACGGGTAGAGCAAATTCAATCGCCTTTAGGACCACCATCGTCGTCTCCTTTGCAACACCCAAGTACCTCGCAGTCGCCCATGCTGTCACCATCTTTATCGCCTCTGACGCAGCATAATTCTCCTCTGAATAGTCCAGGACCGCTTATTTCATCGTCGCCAGGATCTGTGTCGGTTCAAAACATTTTGCAGAGTCCTAACAGTATGCCTACGAACAGCATGTCACCGTTACAATCCTCCTCGATGCAAGCGTCACCTATGCAACAAAGCCCCATGCAGCCGTCTCCGAGGATAGGAACACCGCATTCTCAAAGTAAGATTAAAACTTTACCTTACAATTTTAATAAGTATTTACTATAATAGGTAGAAAAAAGTTATTGAGTTGTTGAATTTTACTTAAAAATTTAACCGCGTTTCCAATATTTTACTCTAGTCTCTAGTGTGATATAAATGTGTGTGTATTTTTTATATTTATTTATTGTTCAAGGTGAAGAGAGTCCCGGATCAGCACAGTCCCCATCCCAAGTATGCCTTCCCCCACCAATGCCAAGAATGACAAGTCCTCAACACAGAAGAGTAGTGACTAGTCCGGTTGGTATGACGCAGATGAGATTCGTAAGCAATCAAGTATTGCAACAGCGAGTACGAATGCAATCGCCCATACAAAATTTTCAGCAGAAACCAGCTACACCATCCCCGTTAAATAGCCCTACATCGCAAACGATGAATGTAAGCCAACAGCTTCAGTTACATAAACTTCAACAGCAACAAAGCATGCTACAACAGCAGAGTCTAGATGGTAATCAAGGTGACCCCAATATTATCCACTCACAGCGAACTACCCAACTTTTACAACATAGAAATTTTATTCGACAACAGGTTGCTCAGCAACAGCAACAACAGATAGGCCAGCCTCAGCCTTTAACGCCTCAACAGCACCAAATGATGCTCCAACAGCAAAAGCAATTAGCTCAACAACAGCAGCAACAAATAGCGCAGATGAACGCAGCTAGGTTACAGCAACAAAATAACCCCCCTCATTCACCAATGCCCCCAAAAAGTCCTATGATTAATCAACAAATTATGTCACCGCATTCTATGCCCCCTTCTCCTATGCAAATGCCACCAAAGAGCCCCATGGTGTCTTTTAGTTCTAATCAACCAAATCCCAACTCTCCTGCCGCAAGAAGCCCTGCTTTTCACCAAGGATTAAGTCAAACTCCAACCAGTCCTATGACTCATCAGCCACCGTCTCCAATGCCTAGAAGTCCAATGGTTAATCAAACACAGTCGCCACATAGTATGAGAAGACCACCCAGCGCTAATAGTAGCCCTGCTATGCCAGATAGGCCACTTAGTGTTGAAAATCCTTCACCAAGAATGTCTTACTCAATCGACCATTTAATGCAAGACACTTTACACAGTCAGAGTAGCCATAATTCAATGCAGTTTACTGATAATTTCACGACTGATATGAATGTTCAAAATAGTATTAGAGAAAATATGCAAAGTGGAGGAGGGAATCCCAATAATCCATGTAATCCAATACCTTTACCACCAGAATATCCTAGATTTAGATATTTTAAACTAGGTTTGCGAGGTGGTACGCCAATGTGGGGGTTTGGAAGAGGGGCAAAACGGATACCTACTCCCCCAAATGCTCCAAATAAACCGGAAGAAAAAATAGTAAACCAAGACAGTATGATGTTACAAAAGATGAAAAAGGAGCCCCATTTAAGCAAAGTTTCTCTTCTTAAAAGAAAGGTTGGAGCTGGAAGTGGAAAAATTGGCTCTCTTGTGAGTACAGATTACAATGATATGGACGACAGTTCATCCACGCCTCCTATAACTCCTCCATTAGCTACTACAAGTCGAGGAGGCATACCAAAAACATTGCCCAAAAAAATTTTGGAAAATCAAAGCAGCAAAGATTCTGTTATTGTCATGCACAGCCCAGAAGACAAACAACTTGATATGATGGATTTTGACGATGATACCAATACTGTTTTATCAGCAGAAGTGTCTCTAAGTTCTGCAGCTCAAAATGACGAAGATATGTTAGAAATGGAGACACTATCTCAACAAGATTTAGCTGAAGGATTATCTAGTCCCTTAGAACCCGATCAAATAGCAGATGAATATTTACTATTTCCTGGCAATATGGTAGTTGACATGTCTGCTGGGGAACATTTTTCCGAAAAAGAGGAGGAGGAAGAAACCGTAGATGAAGAATATAATGATGAAAACATGCATATCATGATTCGTAGTCCTACAACCAGTGACTATGAATACATAATGCAAAGTAAGGGTAAGAAATATAATGTAGGTGTTCATGATGAAAATGATGACATGCCAGAATCTCCGGATCAGGAAGACTTGGCTGTACCGTCACCTGAAGTTTCGGATTTGTTGACAAATTACGATGAAAATGATGTTTTAATGGGTGATCAAAGTAACAGCACACCCGAAGAATCAATTTCTACCAAAGAAGACTTCGAAGAGTTGATTGATGAAGGTTCACGTAAGAATAGCATAACGAAGTCAGAAGTAACAACTAAGCAAATAAATGAATTTCATAAATACGCGGGAATATTTAATTATTCCAAAGGAGTTGTTCAAGCGACTCAGAATCAGACAGCTTTAAATAAAATTACGAACGTGGCTAACAAAAAAGCACCTGCAAAAATATCACTCGTAACGGGTCCAATTGTACATAATCTATCAACCGGGAAGGTAAATCCTGAAAAATTAATAATCACTCAAAATCCAAATATTTTAAATACCTCACAAGCCGCTAAAGTTACGAGTATTATTCTTACCCATAATTCTGCGGTACGGAGAAATGTCCTTAATGTACCAAAGATTGTAAGTACCGTATCTCCAGCTATTACTATAGTAAATGCCACAACATCTCAAATGGCTTCTATACTACCGTCAAAATTCACAGTACCTGTGATAAGTGCCAGTGCTGTGCGACAACTTTCCAACGTAAAAGTGATCGATAAACCATCTTCATCATCACTGTCTATCTCTACACGCGACAATGTTCTACCTAAAAAGATATTCGAAGACGATTCCGTGTCACCTGACAGTTCTAATTGCGAGGATGATAAATCAAAAGATTCGTTCGACGAAAAAGGAAAATTAGAGTCTCCTTCGCGAGAAATAAAACCTTTATTAAAAACAGACGCATCTTCGTCGAATACAATCATCGCAAGAAGTTTAGAATATAAAACACACGAACACCAAAAGAAAGCTGAACATCTTCAGGTTATGAATATAATACAAAAACAGAGAATACCTAGTCCGCTAATGCCAAAGTCTGCTTCGCCTGTGATTATACACAATACTCCCGAATTAAAGATGACTGCACAAGTTATTCAAGAAACACAAACTCGTATGAAGATGACAGCCACTACGGAAACTTTGGACGCATACGACGGTTCAGTAGACGATACAAAGTCTGTTGTAATATCGATTCCTTCTCCTACTCCATCTCAAGAACAAATGTTGGACAATATCGCTTACCAGGCTTTGGAAAATAGGAGAAGAGAATTTGATTCTATCGAGGATGTATTAGATATGATAGAAAATATCACCGCTGAACCGCCTGCTATTTTAGAAGAAAATGTACCTGTACAAAATCCTAAAAATAATACAAATACTGAAACTAAAGAAAAGGAGGTTGACAAACCAAAACCAGAAATAGCAAATATACCAGTAAGTACTAAATCTTCTGCAGTGCCACAGCTGTCGCCATTGTCCCAACCAACAGATTTAACTATGAACATGGCAAATGCTTCGCAGCAACTAAGATCATTGTTGTCTTCACTGCAAACTACTTCAACTTCTTCACCAACTAATGTAGAATCAGTAGTGAAAAATTTCGGCCACAAAATTAGCAGTAGCGCTTCTCCTACTGCCACCCAACCTATTGTTGCCTCTAGAGTTATACAGCAGGCTGGTAGACAATCACCAGTTGTAACAACAGTTAACACTGTAATTGTACCGAATTTAAAACAAAAAGTTACAGTTACCTCGGCAAGCAGTTCTAGAAATAGTCCAGTAAAGACTCAAGTTGTGACTACTCAGCATATACCATCTTCGGCTATTATTACATCAACAATAAACTATATACCAAATAGAACAATTGCTAGTATGCAAGTTATGACAGAACATCTCAAATTATCATCTGGTAGTATGTCTATAACAACTCCCTCAGTTTCCACTCAGCAAGCAATTGCTAAAACTACAAGTCATAATGAAAGTAAGAAACCTTCATTAACATTAACGGCTATGCTGCAAAATCAACCTGCTGCTAATATGATTACTAAATCTTCGGCGGATACAATTACTGCAGCCAGCCTGCTTGGATCACCTATTAGTTTACCTAAAACTGGCTTTTCAACTTCCTTAGTACAAGCGCAACCTACTGTTGTCGTTCCCGTTATAACTACTTCAATGATAGCAGTACAAACTCAACCATCTATTGTTTCTACTGTAAAAAGTTCACCCATGAAAACAATTGCAGATACTATAACGGCCGCAAGTCTTTTAAGTTCAAGTTCTGTTAACATTGTAAAAACCGGTATCACAGCTGCTTTATTACAAGCTCAACCGAATCCAACTCTTAGCTCTTTATCTACTGCATCACCTTTAACGCAAACCTCTAATAATATTATAACCAGCTCCACCCACAGAGTTCCTACTTCTACTACAAATCTTTTACATACCCAGCTAACCAAAGTAGTGAGGAGTAAATCAGTTGATGATATCAAAGAGATAAAACAAGAAGAGATAAAAACGGAAATTATGGATACCGGTGTCGATGACAATAAATTTTCACTTATTTCACCTAGTGGCTGTAAAATGTCAACAATTCAGAATCCAATATTAAATAAAGGGGATGATTCGCAAAATGTTTTGCTGAAAAAGTTGCTACAAAACACTGCTTGTGCTAGTACACAGTCACCTCCTCCTACTACAGCAAGCACTATCACAACTATTTGTCCCACACCTAAACTTCCCATTCGAGAAACATCTTTTGTTTCTAGCCCGAACGTAGAACTACCAGTATCTCAACCGAGTGTTGCTGCTGTTGTCCCTACTCAGCCTTTGCAATTGGAGATTAAAAAATGTTTACCCCCTAGTAGAAGTTCTAGTAGAGATGAACTGTTATCTCCACAAACTCCTAGATCTTCTACCAATAGTCAAGATTCTAGTTTACAAACTCCTCCGATAATAAAGAAAGAAATAATGTCTGTACCACCACCTCAACCAAGTCCAATTCACACAACACAAGAAGTCAAAAAGGAACTTATGGACGAGTCTTCGCAACATTCTGAGGTTTCTGATTACAGCCGACCAGATATTCCCATAAAAGAAGAAACAGAATTGGCTGATATTGCAATAGAAAAGCCAGTGCTTGATAAAGAAGAGTTAAAGAAACAAAAGAGGCGGATGTATCAACAGAAAAGGCGGCAGAACCAAATACTTAATAAAGAATTGGCTGGGCAACCTAAAAAACGACCAAGAAAAAATTCAAAAATAGAAGAAGACTACGATACTTATATAGACGGAGTGTTGGCTCAATTAAGACAGTTACCTGGAATTACAGTATCTGAACCAGTATTAAATCGCAACCATGGTATAGTGTCACTTTTCGGGTCTGGAGATATGTCCAAACTTGGAACAAAAGGATACTCTACCCAGTTTGGGGATTTAGTCGGGGAGTATGGCTATGCTGAACTGCCAGGCTATTCAGATTTTTATTCCACCAAACCTTATGGAGATCTGGATCCTATACCGGAAAAACCACCCTCTTCAACCCAAAGAGGTTTCTACGATCAAGAATTCCCATTGATACGGTTTGACACAGACGATCATAAGAAATTCGACATGTTCTGTAGAGAAGATACTCCAGATTCAATACTTAGTAGTTCATCTCCGGAATGTGTCCAAATAGATCCCCAGTGTAGATTTATGGGATTAAAACTTATTAGCGATAGCGAAAGCGAGGACGAGGATAATGAAATAGAAAGGGAAATACAGCAAGCTAGAGATAGACTGTCGCCGATAGTACCTATGATCAAACCAGTGCCAATTAGGTTGAAACCAGTTGGAGGAATGCTTGTTAAGGAAAATTCCAGTGATGTGAGTATATTAATTTTTATTGTTTTATATTTTTTGATTTGTCATGCATATTTACTTCATTACTAGTTTATTAAGAATTAGAGTGTCACTTAGATTCCTACTTTTGGTATCTGGAAGGACAATGTTTTAATTTAGTGTGTTCATAAATTTTCACTTAGTGCTTTCTTAAAGAAAGTTCTTTCTGATGCTAAAAGCTTCTGGTCAATATTTACTTCTTGGACACCATTTTGTCAGTGCAGTTCTTGGGTACTGCAGTGATACACAAGAAAAGTTTTTGTTTTTTAAACTTCCACCGCCACAATATTTTAGGAAGGGAATTGCAGCTCTAATCTTTTTTGGTAGTCAGCTTAACGGCCCCTACTTTGCCTCAGTTTTTCCCTGAGAAGTGTTTTCAAATTTTCCATAAAAAAAAGCTTTCCAAAAGAAGCTTACAAATTTCTGTGTGATATGATGATCTTGCTAGTGTCCAAATGCTCCCTAATATTTCTAAGCTTCTTTCTTTTAGTTTCATGTAAGCATTGCCAAGATACCACAAGTTGCCCGGTGCTTTCTGTAAAAATATGCAAATTTTTCCCCTAATATTGTTTTCTGTTGGGATCTGGTGGGGACTCTTTAGTGTACTAAACATCCAGTTTGGAAGTGTGGAAAAAATAACGATCCATGCCTGTACAGCTGCCAATAAGCCTTAATGTAGAAGAATAAGTGGTCTGGTGTCTTCAGTAGACCTTTGTGTGTTGCTATTTATTCTCTTTGTTCCCTGTGGCAGCAGTCTGCGTGGTTGAAGCTCATTCCCCAGGTCAATGAGGAATAGTACAATAGGGTTTTATTGTCCTATATCCTACTAAATATTTGTGAAATATTTAGACAATCCACACAAACTATACAATACACCTTACTTAAACAGGAGACCAACTGACCATGATACCAAGAGTCTAGTTACAGTTACAGAAATTCGTACATAGATGGCTTTTGGCTTTACTTCGTGGCAACGCAAGACCAGATGTCTCTATGGGTCCTTGATAGCCGTTGCTCGAGGATCCGTAGAGACATCTTGTATAACTAGCCCAGTCTGGTTAAAAAAAAGGTCGAAACATTTTTCGCAGATATCTGAAACTTTTAAGACATAGGTGGGGGTTACTAGATGAGGAATAGATTAAAAAGTATTCGACCAATTCGTCATCTAGTTACTCCACCTATGTCTTAAAAGCTTCAGATATCTGCAAACAATTTTGCCGTGAAATCGATGATTTTTGCAAAACCAGACTGGGCTAAACATAGTATATGGCGTCACGAATGGCAAACATGATGGCGTCACTTATAACTAGTATGTAAGTATGGTTATGCTGAACGTATAGTCGTATGTCTAGTATAGTTCTGATTATGGACTAAAGTGGAAAGTTTGATAGTTTCAAAACACAAATAAATAATTTGTTTACCCAAAGTTTTCGTGAGCATGTAAAATACGTAACTTCTCAAAGTTTTCATCGCTCTCTTGTTAATTTTCTTTATTTTTCTCTCTAGAACAAAGAAAACATCAATACAGATAGTCTTAACGTAATGACAAAGATCAAATCTGAAAACAAACCGTCGATACCGACAAAAGATTCAGGACATGTTACCGTAACATTAACATTAACTTCATCTGCTGCTGAAGACATAATGGGTGTGCTAAGAGACTTGGCAAACATTCTACAAATTCCAGCTCCTACGAGTTATCAAATAGTGGAAAGGACAACAACTCCTCCCAGTCAGAAACTCGGGCTCTACCGGACCAAGGGCAAGGATGGTAAAGAGGGAGGTAAGAATATTTCCATATTTTTAACGTATTTTGTTCTAATTTTTTGTTCTTTTTAGCGCCAATAGACATTCAAAGTATTCTTAATGGGGCTACCAAGTTCTGTAAACACTGTGATGTAATTATTTTAAGCAATTTGATAAGGAGGAAGGTTTCAGACCTTCCTTTCTTGGCCAAAGACTCAGAACTTTTAAGCGACGGAGAGGAACTATTCTTCTGCAGCTCGACTTGTTACATGCAGTTTGCCTTAATGCATAGATCTCCTTCTATTTCTGAAGATAAGGTAACTATTTATATTTCCAAGTTGAATAAAGTGAAGTAATACATTTTTATTTTTAGGCCGCCGAAATAATCAACCATTTATCTCAGAAGGATAATGAGAGTAAACAAAAAATGCAGATGATGGAACCATTTGACAATAAATCATTAATAGCTCAAAGACTCTCGTTCACTAATCGCGAGATGAAGAAAGAATATGAACCAATGGATACCAATGATTACTATTCCTATTTGCATAATAATGCAGAGAATAAACCGAATCGATTTTATGACGGTGCTTACAGACCGATGCCGGTTAGCAGAATTTACAAGAACATCAAGTATAAAGCTTGGTCACCTGGATGTTTACAACCGAATCAGAAACATAAGATACCTACGGATAAAGAAATCATGGAACTGTTGTATAGAATGCAAATAACCGTCATGCCGCCAGTTATGCCGGATGACACAAGAAAGTGCATGTTTTGTCAGGGTAAGTCAGGATAAGTCATTACTTTATATTTATTTAATAATCAATGCATGGAATACCAATAGAGTTAAATCTGGCACATGCAGTATTTGAAAAATTTATATACTATGTTTCAATTTGACTATTTTATTTTAGGTGTTGGTGATGGGGTAGCTGATGGTACGGCAAGATTACTTAACTTTGAAGTTGATAAATGGGTTCACTTAAATTGTGGTCTTTGGTCTGACGGTGTATACGAAACGGTGAATGGGGCGTTAATGAATTTGGAGAATGCTTTACAAACTAGCTTAACGACGAACTGCGTACATTGCAATATGTTAGGTGCTACTATAAGATGCTTCAAAACGAGATGTTCCAGTGTATATCATCTGAATTGTGCAGTTAAAGACAATTGTGTATTTTTCAAGAACAAAACTGTGTATTGCATAGCGCATGTCCCTAAAAACGAAAAGGACAACGAGTTGACGACGCTCTCTGTATCTAGAAGAGTTTATGTTAATAGAGATGAAAACAGACAGGTCGCTGCTGTGATGCACCATTCAGACACTGACGATCTATTAAGAGTTGGTAGTCTCATATTCCTAAATGTAGGTCAACTATTACCACACCAGCTACAAAATTTCCACACTTCCAACTACATATATCCAATAGGCTACAAGATAATAAGGTTCTATTGGAGTATGAAATCTTTAAACAAACGGTGCAAATACATCTGCTCTATCCACGAACAATATGGAAAACCTGAGTTTAGGGTCATTGTTCAAGAACCTCCAGAGGACGATATAGAGTTCATAGATCCTACTCCTAAAGGTGCTTGGCAAAGGATCCTTGACCAAATTGCCTTCCTTCGCAAGGAGAACGAATGTTTGCAGATGTTCCCTAAATTTACGACTGGAGAAGATCTTTTTGGCCTCACTGAACCGGCAATAGTAAGAGTACTTGAAAGTCTGCCAGGTATAGAAACCTTACCCGATTATAAATTCAAATATGGTCGCAACCCTTTATTGGAACTTCCTTTGGCGATAAATCCCTCGGGATGTTGTAGGACTGAATCGAGGTCGAGGACTCAGTTGCATTGGAAAAAACATCACACTCAACGGACTACTTTGTCTACAGCTAGGCCTATATTTGGTCCTTCGCCTTCAGGTCCAACTCCAAGTACTCCAACATTGGGTGAGCTGTCGTGTCCTTACAGCAAACAGTTTGTTCATTCGAAGAGCTCACAGTACAAAAAGATGAAGCAGGAATGGAAGAATAACGTATATCTTGCTAGGTAAGTCATGCTAAAATAATTCTTTAATTTACATTTTATCAGATTAAAAAGATAATACGAAGGTTGATCAATATGGTCCACCTCTGACCTAGAAATAACACAAGAACATTTTAACACCCTTATCTTTTAACGTAGTCTCCCCTCGGTTTAACATACTTTTTCCATCGGCGCTTAGCATCCTGGAAGAAATTTTCTTTGACTGTGTAAATCCATCCATTTATGATACTTCAACATTGGTCAAACATTTTTATCTCTAAGGTCTTCTTTGAGTTTTTGAAATAGACTGTAGTCACTCGAGGCCAAATCTAAAGAATGTGGGAGCAGGCCTTTCCTCAACTTTTCGTCCCTTTTCGTTTATGACTTATGTATTATTATTATTATGTATTATATTCTAAATAATCAACAATATAACTTGTGCATCCCAGAATATTGTGGCCACAATCTTATTATCTGACGCTATAGCTGAGAACTTGTGAGGTGGGAATGAACCCCCATGCTTGCACTATTAGCTCTGACTTTTTATCTCTGGATCATAATGGTGTACTCATGTTTTACGATCAATAAAGTTCTTATCGCTGTGATAAGTGTCCAAAAGCCATTGACAAATGTCCCATCTGGTATGCTTGTGATGAGCTGAAAGCATTCGAGGAACCCAACTTGCCATTAGTTCCTTCATATCTAAAATTTTAGATGTAAGGTTTTGAACTACATGAAATGAAAAGCTCGTTTCCTCCATAATTTGACTCAAAGAGGTCCTCTGATCAGTTAGAAAGACATCGTGGACTTTAAGGGACCTTCGCCCCATTCATCTTTACAGGTTTCTCTTTTACACTTGAACTAGCGATACTATTTTTTCACTACGTCGTAAGTGAGTCTAATGTCAGTGTTAAATCGGCATGTATTTCTTTTGGGGATAATTGTTTTTCAGCACATATTTAATCACGCGCCTTCGCTCTTACGCGTCAACATTGAGGCACATGACAACTGCTGATGTCACTAATGCAAGATGGAGCTTGCAAATCTAGGGATGGTCATTTTTTAAGTATACATTGAAAGTTCTACCTAAATTGGAACTAAATCATGGTGGAAAATTCCGTCAACACTTTTGTATGATCGTTGTCATTTACGTCTTTAAGATTCGTCGCTAAAATTATCCCAACACATCTTTTGAACGTTGAATATCGACTGCCCTTTGAGGTTTGACTCCCTGTATAGAAATGTCCCGTTTAACCACAGTAGTTTGGCTTTTATCATCGGTATTTAAGAATTGGTTTGAATTACTGTTATCATATATTAAATATTTTATTATTTTAGATCGAAAATTCAAGGATTGGGTTTATATGCAGCTAGAGACTTAGAAAAACACACTATGGTTATTGAATATATTGGGGAGATTATTAGAACCGAACTGGCTGAATGCAGAGAAAAACAATATGAAGCAAAAGTAAGTACCAAGTTAATAAACAGGGAAATATATGTATTTAATGTGACAAAATAGGCATCGAGAGGAAAAAATTTACAATCTAGACCATGCTACGGCTTCTAAAATGTACTATTTAACGCCAGCTTAGTGGTTTTGTAACCAAATTATCTTAATATTCTTTCTCAAATATGAGTTCTAATAAGTTTTATCACAATCTATGATATCAATACATTTTATATGGCGTTATTTCAATTCCGTTATTTTCTCTGTATATTTTTCATTTTGATATTTTACACAGCAGTCATCTATGGCCGTAATAGCCTTTTGATTGAACGAAAAGCGCTTACCAGCGAGAATGACCTATGGTTCAGCAGATTCTGAGTGGAAACCTACAAAATGTCCTTAGCTCGTCAGTACAATTCCAAAACCTAGTTAATTACCTCTATGAAGCCAGACTTTATTTACAAAGAAGCTTATAGTTTGTGCTAATGTGTAATGTGCTATTGGAGTAAACTTAAAACTTAAGAGTAAAGTTACTATAGTAAAATTCATTAAGCGGTGCAGGAAAATATAAACATTAAATCGTGTTCGAACCGGTATGAACCGCCGATAACATCGCCAGACGAAATAAAGATGGACATTCCGGTTAGTTTTTAAATATTTTTGAAGAACTGTTACTTGCATTTATGCATAAAATATTCATTAATTTTATAAATCGGAGTATTTTTTCACTTACTTTGTATTCAGTGATAACATTAATTTATTTACTATGCAATAAACACGAATATTTGAGAAAAGAAAAAAATAATAAAGTGTCATAATTATACTGTTACTTATCGGAACGAGTAGACTCATTTGGAACATCTTTAACAATTATCTGTTAAATTTATCGTTGTTTATATGCCCTGCACCGCTTAATGGAATAAGGTATAGCCACCAACATTTTGCAAAGACGACAGTTGTTTTCAACTAGATAATGATTAATAAATATCACTATAGGTGCACGGCACTATAAGAAGAAGAAGAAGTTTTGATAAAAATAGAGAGGATGAAATTTGTTTAAAAGGAATCGAATACACACAGGAAAAATTTTGAGAAATTTTCTAAACGAGAGAAAATTTGACAGAAAACATAATCAAGTATGGCCCACTTATGGAAGATGACATTCTTACCAGAATGTCCATGGATGACTTCAGGTTTATGTATAACCATGCTATAAGAAGAAGAAGATAATGATTTTACAAATAAAATTTTGGATTAGTCATATTTAAATCATTAGCATATATATTCATGAAGGAATTCAAACAAAATATTGTGTATCAACATTACCTACAACCCACAGTATGGTGGAGATATGTAGATGATGTGTTTACTCCATTTAGTTTCACGCACCAGAGGCATCAAATAAATTTCTGATGGGTGGGTACAGAAAGTTACCAATAGTGAGGAACTTTATCGCAAGCGTAAACAAAAAGAATTACTAAGCATATTCAAAGAGGAAAATACAATACTTGGGTCACGTGTTGAGAGGTGAAAGTCATATTGAAAGGTAAACTACAGGATAAAAGATCAGTTGAAAGACGCCAGAACTCGTAGTTGAAAGACCTGAGCAGATGGTTTGACCGCTCATCCGCAGAAATCTTTCATGCAGCTGTTTCCAAAGCTACAATTTAGAGCGCCAACCTTCTAATGGAGACGGCGCAAGAAGAAGAAGAATAGTACACAAACACATAGTACATAAACACATAAAACAATCAAAATTTGATATATCATCCTGAGGGTAAAAATACCACTCTCAGAATTTTCAACTAAAAGTATGGCTATTTACCTACAAAATCGAGGCTAAGAAGTCACCTGTCAATTTGGAATACAATGACCACCAAACGATTATTGGATATATGTAATCATAGCTCCCTATTTTAAAATATCAATATCTTACGGGGTGTGAGACAGGGATGCATAATTTGACCACTGATATTAAATCTGTACTCGGAGCACATTTTTGAAGAGGCTCTAAAATATATTGATGAAGGCATCTCAATAAATGGAGTCAAGCTCAATAACCTGCGGTATGCAGATGATACAATGGTGTTTTCCAATACCATAGAAGGGCTGCAAAACTTGATGAACAAAATAACGGAAACAAGTAGAACATATGGACTGGATATAAACACCAGCAAAACCAAGCTAACGATCATCAGCAAGGAAAACAAAACTGGAGCAAATATGTATGAGAATTGAACGTGTCTCACAGTACAACTTGGAAACTATAATCAATGAGTCGTGGGACAATACCCAAGAGATTAAATGTCGCATCGGAAAGGCAAAAAGTGCATTCTTGACTATGAGCTCTGTGTTCAAGAGCCATGACTTCATCCTAGAAACAAAAATAAGGCTCCTTAAATGTTACAAGTGTTACGAGTGTGTACTCAGTGCTTCTGTACGGAGTAGAAACGTGGACATTGAAGGCGAAAACTCTATCAAAACTTCAAGCTTTTGAACTTTGGTTATATAGAAGGATCCTGAAGATACCATGGACAGACAAAGTCACCAATGAAGAAGTACTGCGGAGGATGAACACAACTGCGGATTTGGTCAACATCCTGAAGGGCCGTAAGCTGCTGTACTTAGGTCATATAATGAAAAATCAAGGCAGATACGAGCTACTCCAATGCATTTTACGAGGTAAAATGAAAGGGAAAAGGGCCACAGGACGAAGAAGAATATCCTAGCTTGCTTAACTGAGAGCATGGTATAGAAAGACCTCAACACAGCTAAGAAAAAGAATTTTAAAAGATATTTTTTGTGTAAACGATTTCCGAAGTGGAATTTAGAATTTAGATTTTCATAATTATTCATTGTACCAATATTTAATGTATTTTTCTTTATCCATTGTAATTGCACATAAAATTGCACCTGTCAATGTCAATGATTTACGCTATCCAAATACATAAATTTATGTAAAAAATAGTTTTTATTAACAATTGAACTTTATTTTAGAATCGAGGAATATACATGTTTAGACTAGATGAAAACAGAGTGGTAGACGCTACGTTGAGTGGTGGCTTAGCGAGATATATAAATCACTCTTGTAATCCCAATTGTGTAGCTGAAACCGTGGAAGTAGAACGTGACGTAAAAATTATTATTTTCTCCAAGAGAAGAATTATGAGAGGAGAGGAGGTAAGTTATACTTATGATAAAGGTTTTTACAAATTGAATCGTATTTATTATATAAATGTATTGGTACAGTATATTATTCATTTTATACCGTTTTTTTACTTAATTAGATGGCTTTGGTAAAGACCAATTCTTCTTCTTCTAGTTCCATGACCGTTATCGATCGTTGGATATCATGTTGGCTACTATATTCGCTATCGTGACTTTATTGACAGCAGCTCTAAATAACGATGTAGTTGATTTTCCATACCATTGCCTTAGATTTTTCAGCCATGATGTTCTTCTTCTACCAGGACCACGATTACCTTGGATCTTTCCCTGAATGATCAGATGTAAAAGATCATATTTTTCAGGGTGTCTCATAATATGACCGAAGTATTCCAGCTTGCGTTTCTTTATTATATTGACCAGTTGTGTTGTTTGGTTCAGCCGTCTAAGGACCTCCTCATTTCTAACTCTGTCGACCCAGCTTATTTTCAGTAGTCGTCTGTATACCCACATCTCAAAGGCTGTCAAGCGTTTAAGCATAGCCTCAGTTAGGGTCCACGCTTCTACTCCATACAGCAGGACAGGAAAGATGTAGCAAGATATCATACGAACTCTAAGGTCAATGCTAAGATCGTGACTGCAAAGTACGTTTCTCATTTTTACAAAGGCAGCTCGGGCTTGTTCTATTCGGCTTTTAATTTCTGCGGTTGGATCCCAGCTCTCATTGATATTACTGCCGAGATACACGAGTTTCTCTACTCTGTCCAGTGTGGCATCTCCGACTTTTATACCGTCATCATGTATATAATTTTGTTTGCTAACTATCATATATTTAGTTTTCTTAACGTTGAGTTTTAATCCATACTGATCACAAGTCTGTTTTATTTTGTTCATTAGATTTCGAAGGTCTTCTCCGCAATTGGCAAGGACTAAGGTATCGTCGGCATATCTAATATTGTTGACGGTTACTCCATTCACAATAATACCTTCGGTTGTCTCCATTAAGTCTTTCTTAAATATTTCCTCCGAATATAAGTTACAAAGTAAAGGCGACAATATACAGCCTTGTCTCACTCCTCTTTTTATATTTATTTCATCCGACAGTTCTTGTTCAACCTTTATTCTTGCCACTGGATGCCAGTATAGATTTGTAATTATTCGTAGATCTTTATCGTCCAATCCAGCTGTTTCCAATATTTCTAGCATTTTGTTATGTCGGACTTTGTCAAAAGCTTTTTCAAAATCGATTGCACAAATATACACATTTTGATTTATATCTCTGCATCTCTGTACTAGCACCTGTATACTAAACAAGGCTTCTCTTGTACCCAAGCCACTCCTAAACCCAAATTGAGTATTGCTAATTCTGTCTTCTAACAGCGTGTAAATTCTGCTGTGTATTACTCGCAGAAAGATTTTCAAAACGTGACTCCTCAGACTTATTGTCCGATAATCACCGCATGTCTTTGGACGATGTTTCTTAGGTATTGTGACAAATGTCAACTTTAACCAATCAGTTGGTAATATCCCAGTGTCATAAATTCTGTTAAAGAGATTACACAGAGCTTTAATTCCATTTTCTCCCAAAAACTTTAGTATTTCAGCACTTACTTCATCGGGGCCAAGTGCTTTTCCATTTTTTGTCGTTTGTATTGAACATCTTACCTCACTTTCTGTTATAGATGGACCTGATATAGCAATAGGTGTATAGTGTTCTACTCTCTCATCTTCAAATAATTCAGAAATGTAGTTTTCCCATTCTTTTAACTTTTCATTGATGTCTAATATTCTGTGTCCGTTTCTGTCTTCTAAACTTTTTGATACTTGTTTCCATTTGATTCCAGCGACCTCTTTCAATTTCTTGTACAGATGAAATGTATCGTGTTTCTTTTCATATTGTTGAATTTCATTACATTCTTTACTATGAAATTGTGTTTTCGCGTGTCTTATCTTCTGCCTGATTATTGCGTGGATCCTCTTGTATTCGTTTTTATCTTTATTTCTGACTTCTCTTCTTTGATCCATAAGTCTCAGTATTTCTTCTGTCATCCACCCTTGTTTTTTTCTTGCTTTTAGCGCACTCAATTTTGTTTCTTGAACAGTCTTTAAGATGTCTTTAATTCTCGTCCAGTTTTCCTCAGTACTTTCTTCTTTGCTTGATGTTAACTTCATCTTTTTTTCTAATATACCAGTTATTTCTTGTTTTACAGTATCATTTAGCATCGTTTCTTTATCAATAGTAACTGTTTGCTTATTTGTCCTTGCAACTCTTTTTAATCTCAGTCTTATTTTTCCTACTAAAATATTGTGATCTGTTGGTACATCTGCCCCTGGATATGTTTTTACTGATAATACTGAATTTCTGTATCTCTTATTTATACATATGAAGTCTATTTGGTTACGAAAAACTCGTTCAGGTGTATCTGCTGGTGATTTCCAGGTGTAAAGACGACGTTTTGGAAGTTTGCAAATTGTGTTCATTATTACTAATTGCTTTTCTACGCAAAAAGATGCCAACATATCTCCTCTTTCATTTCGTATTCCCAGACCATATTTCCTATGACATCTTCCTGTTCACCTTCACCAATCTTTGCATTAAAATCTCCCATGATAATATTGAAATCGTGTTTCTTTGTAGGTGCTAATACTTTTTCTAAATCATGATAGAATTTTTCAATTTCTTCTTGTTCATAGTCTTGTGTGGGTGCATATACTTGTAATATGTTCACATTGATTGTTGTTGATTGTATTTGTATCATCAGTATCCTGTCTGAGAATAGGACGACGTTTTTTACAGCTTCATCTGTTTCCTTCGACACAATTATTGCTACACCATTTTTGTGTTTTGAGCTGTCTTCTCCTGAATAGTATACAATGTGGTCATCTACAGTTACTTTTCCAGACCCCGGCCATCTCATTTCAGTTATTCCAAGGATACTTATATTTAGACGCTTCATTTCTTTAATGGTGTTATGAATTTTTCCTGGTTCGTACATGCTTCTTACATTCCATGTACCTATTTTTGTCCTACTTTGGTCTGGCTAAAGACCAATTAGCCAGACAATATTTTATATCGTTAAAACTCTAAATACTGAACATAAAAGTGATTTAAACCAGGGTTTCTTATTACGAAGGTGTCGCTATTAAGCGGTTTTAATATTCTTGGTGCGACGAAAATACAAAAACAATCGTCTTCACTATGCAAAACGGTTCTTATAGGAGAACTTCGATTAGCATTTATTTGCTTCAGAATATAAGATCTAGATATTACCTTGTAATGTTTAAAAGAGTAGTCTATATGTTGAAAAATAAATTCCCTAATCTAGTTTGAAAATAAACATAAACACTGTTTTTATGTTGCATATTTACAATGTTTTTTCCTTTTAGCTGGCTTATGATTACAAATTCGAATTCGAAGATGACCAGAACAAGATTTCCTGCATGTGCGGCGCTCCGAACTGCCGCAAATGGATGAACTAAGACCTTTGTATACAATTGTTGCAATATTGAATTAGGATTATCTTATGTAAATAATGTAGTTTAAACGTAAAACATTTTTGTATGTTGGTATACGACTGTTTATAGTGCCATTTTTATCAAAATGAGTTTTATACACATTCCATACACATTCATTATATATGCGCAAGACCAGAGAAAGAAACAAATAATCAAGGGCAATTTTTTTGAATTGTACCTGTATTATGTACACATAATTATTTGCATTTTTAATCAGACGATTAAGATTTTCAATTTGATTTCCTTTATTTTTTATTTTTTAGACAGTGTTTCGTTATTGCAACACTAAACTTAGTTATTTATATTTCCTAAATCTAGTAGTTCAAGATTTTATGCTTTCTTTCAGCCTTTGCTAAAATTTTAATCACTAAGCTCTTTTGAGTTTAGAGGAGAGTAGGAAGTTACTTATCTGTTTGTAGACATATTATTTCAATTCTTTCAGTTGATGCATACCAAAGAACAGATTTAAAAAAGTTTATTCTGGAAAATCATAGTAAGATCGACCTTCTGTTCGACATTTGGTTCACGCACATTACTAATCACTTGTTAAATTCAATCTTCGATGGTCGTTAAGGACGGATGACAATACAAGACGGTGCTTGCTTTCCCTTTACACAATACATACATGACAATACATTCTGCTGATGGGCTTGCGACACATTGTTTTTCATTGAGTAGAATGAGGGATACTTCTTTGATTCTCTTTCTTAAGTCTCCTACTTTCATGATTATTGACATTGATGGTTGATCACATCTGTGTATCTGAACAATTTTTAATTTGTTGGTATGTGTGTCTTGATTGCAAACCAACGGAATTTTCTCTACTCTTTATACAACAAACTCATCTTAAACTCGTTAATAAACATATCACATATGTAATTAGATACTTTCTACTGTCTAATAATAATAAGGCAGAATGAGAACATGAACAGACCTCTAAAAGTGCGAATCCTCTTAGTAGATCGTGTTTTGTCTTTTTATTCAAATCATCTTTGGAAAAAGTTCTAATCATTTAAGCTTTCGTAGAACGTCACACTATACATTTTTTGAGGTTAGGTTCGATTTAGATTGCAAATTGTTTATGTTATTCTTACAACAAACCCATTTTAAACTCGTCACCAAACATTTCACATTGGTTATTAGAGATACAACCAATACAGACCCCTCAAGTTGTTCTTAAAGTTAAGAACTCCATTCTCAATACTAAATTTTCTGAAATGATTTTCTGAAAACGTTCGAATAACGTAAGCTTTTCAAAAACGTCACAGTCGTTGAGGTTAGGTTCGTTTTTGGTTGTAAACCAACTGTATAATCGACCCATTTTAAATCTGTTAATAATTCCTTTACATTAGTTATTAGAACATTTGTACTGTCCTAAAGTAGCTGAATGAGAGCATATACAATCCCACCAGATTTCCAAAGTTTAAAACATTGACATCTTAACAACTTTAGGCATATGGGTCTTATAAAATTTCATGAACCTGACTCACTCATTTGGTGACGTCAGTCTACATTGAATTGTCTGCAATGTGTTCTCATAGCAAGGCAGAGTCAAACTAGTTTTTATTTTTATTGTTTTTCTTCTTTACAGTCTTTTTTAATATTTTATATTGAATTCCGTATGAAATTAAAATAGTTAATGTTTTTAGGATTCATTCTTTTTTTCGGGCATGCGTATTTCCAAGGTTCCTGAAGTTTTGAAACATCCCTAAGACATATATGTTTTAAATAGATAAAAGGAATATATTCTTGATTATTTATTTCTTACTCTCTGGCCTATTAGCAAACTGCATTGCACACAATTTCTTTATACACCGTACAGTTAATTTTTTGCCTTGCAGTTTTAAGATATTACGAAACTTTTACTTCTATACGGTAAAGTATGTTGATATACAATAATTATACAACATTTAGGGACCAAATAAGAAATACTGTCGTAGTCTTTTTGTGAATAAATATGTTGAATGTTTTTCCGTACGTAACTTATTGGATATTATTAGTCCCTATTTTAGATCAATCTGCAAGTTGTTTGATATATCTTATATTCTCCACAATCTACTACGTTTAATTGTTATTTTACAGCTTCCATCTGGTTCTCTAGTTTTTTTATTTTCTTTTATCTTTCCTGGACATTGACAAATAATTAAATAACCCAAAAATGTTACTAAAGTAAAGTTTTTTTATATATTCTATTGAGAAGCAATTTTTGTTTTGGGAATATTTAATATTTCGGACTACTGTCTTAAGGGAAAAAATATTAACTTTAACAACAGTTTATATATCGAAATAAGCAATTTGAAGCAGTATATATTTCAAAATTATGCATATATCGGGTTGCTAAGCAAGGAGAATAAAATACTTTTTCTTTCTATGTACCATGACAAATTGTAAGGTATTTTTTCCGGAAGAAGTAGAAGTATCTACCGAACAATCCGCCAACGAACAAGCAGAACTGCTTATAGTGAAGAGGAAGAAGATCACTTGTAATGCTGAATTGAAATCCGTAATGTTTTTTTGTATCTCTTGCAGTTTTAGCTGCACTAATCTCTACCTACTGCACAAAACTAAACGATGGATTATATTTAAATTAATATTTCGGTCCAATTATCTGTATCTTATAGTTCTATATTTTCAGTAATTGCAAACAGGCAATAAATTCGGTTCTAAAACATCTGAAATTTCTTTAGAAATTCTTCACGTGTTCCTACTCAAAATGAATTCAGCATCTGCGAATTCATACCGGCTTCACATGTTTCTGAGCCAGATGTTTAATTTCCTTCCTAGTTTCCTTCTACTCCCAATCTTGCCGGTGAATATAAATTTAACGGAAGACTATCTTGATCCATTCAAGATATGCCCCAAATAAGACGTTTCACGTTGACTCACAACAAGTAAGAGTTTTATGTGTACTTAATTTAGATGCAACATCTCATTGGCAACTCAGTCCTTCCAAGATATTTAAGTAATCTTAAAGTCGACGTCTAGCACAAGAAAGCTTTTTGGCTCATGTTGAAACACACGGTCGTAAGTTTGCTCTTGTTCATTTTTTTCATATTTGTTCACCTTCCTTTCCTGTATGATTTATAGCTTTAATTAGAACTTTAATATCTTCTATCTTATGTGCTATAGTACCTGTATTGTCTGCATAACTTAGATTACGACTTTATTATTATGACCCTTCTTCTTCTAAAGGTACCTATCTTCTATAGATGTTGGCGACCACATTGACCCATCTTATTCTATTCACAGCAGTTTGAAATAGATCAGTTGATGTTAGACCAGTCCATTTAATAAGATTGGCCAGCCAGGATATATGTCTACGTCCAGGGCCTCTCTTACTCTCAATCTTGAGAATCTTCAGAGAATCTTCCTAAGGCTGTTGAAAGAGCTTTTGCTTCGAATAGCATATTTTTTCCACTCTTTCTAACGGTGTATCGTTAATTGTAATTTGGGCGTTTATGCCGGTGTTCTTACTAATGACCATTATTTTTGTCTTCTTGCAATTTAGTTTTAGGCCGTATTTGTTACATGCTTTTACAACGTTATCCATCATCCTTTGGAGCCCCTGCGCACTATCTGCCAATCTGCCAGCAACACTGTATCGTCTGCATATCTAATGTTGTTTATAAGTTGGCCATTTACAGCAATCCCATCTTCTAATTCGTCCAAGGCCTCTCTAAAGATGTTTTCAGAGTATATATTAAAGAATGCCGGTGACAATATGCACCATGTGTACCCAATATGACACTATGACCTTATTTACTCTAATATTATTTATTTCTTCTTCAGCCTGTTTATATACACTCTTGGACAAAGTCATAACCATGAGTTATCCACTCTTCTTGTCTACTTACCATTAAATTTAACTACATATTATAAAACATTTTTGTGCTCTCTCTAAACTCTTTCCGTAATTGTGTCGTTGATGACCAAATTATCTAAAATTTCTTGGATATTTGGATAATAACGTCCTCTTTTTTTCTTCAGGTTTATTCTAATTCATAATTGTTGCATGTGTTATGTTCGGTAGGATTTCTCTGTAGGCGTTGAATAAGAGTGGTGAAAGTATGCATCTTTGTTGAACTCAAGTATGTCTATTGCTTGTCAGTTCCCCTTCTACTATAACGATAATTGTCTGATTCTGATAAAGATTTGATATGATTTTTAAGTAGCAGTCTTTGAAGCTTAACTCATCCTTTTTCCCTCTCTCCCCTATCCTGTGAAAGGTCTATTTAGAATGTATAAAGGAAGTACCTATGTCTTAGTTCATATCCTCGTTTATATTCAGGAATCATGGTACCAGAAGGTGTACAATGGTCGTTGCTCTATAAGTAATATGTTATTTTTTCCAACCTTTTAACCAACGTTCCATTAGCTATAATGCAATATATTCCCGTAGATTCTATGTTTCATGTAACTCATTTCTTGTTCTAACTGCAGTAGCGTTTGTGTTTCTTAATATTTTGAAAGAAAAATTCGGTTATCGTGACCTAATTGTATATTTATTTTCTTCTTATTCACCTCTTTTATAATGAGTGTCTATCTTTGTGGTATGGTCTACATATTTTTTTTATTTCTGTGACTTGTAATCTAAGTTATCTTGAAGTGCAAATTAAAGAAATAATTGCAACCTATACAGAAAACATGATGGCGGATTTAGATTTAGCATTAAAAATTATTAAGGGAAACATAATGAAACCAGAAATTTTTTACTTGTGGTTCTGAGGAAATTGGAAAGCAAAAACGCAGTTACTAGTAAACTATTATAGCACTGTAATTATATTATTTATTATAAACCATCTTACGTTAAGTTACTGTGTCAAAGCGCAATTTTGCTCAGCCTGTACAGTTTCGAATCATCTCCAAAGCGTAATCATTTTTGTTTTTATTTTTACACAAAATTAATTTGTTTCTCTTTTTATATAAATATTTAACTTAAAAAGGATAAACTATTCTTTGATGATACTGATAGCGATTTCTATCGAGAGCAATTTTTATACCCGAATCTTTATCTAACTGGAAAATTACGTGTAATTGATATGTAATATTTTTAGGGAATAAAAATTATTAAGAACTCTTAAGCAGCAGTACGCATGTTGTCGAACTACATACTTATTTCAATCCATAACCTTTTGTAAAAGTTAATATTATCGTCCCATGTATTGTTAGTGGAGTAGTTAGCGATCTCTACAAATTTTTCTTTCCATATTTTCAACCGCATTGTCAACAATAATATTGGGCAACTTGTGGAGCATCTTGCTGTTGTTGTTTTCTAACTATTAAAGAATGTATATAGACTATTTATTTCTCTATATTTTAGACCCTTATGTGAACAGTGTACATAGAACTGGTTTTTGAATGCCATTGTTAAACACGGATTTTTCTAGGAGATTTTATATATTTGAGTACTTTTTTGTTACCAAAAATGAAGTTATCAAGCTTGCATTACATTTTCATCATTGTCTTCATGGTATTCACACGTTGTTAATTTATGGTCATATTATTAAATGAATACGTCATTTTTGGTATACAGGAACTTAAGCATTGCCGTGCAATATTACCTTACTAGAATTAAAAAAAATAATGTAATTTTTAAGGGACAAAGTCCTTGTTTTTTTTTTAACTTTTAGGTTTGTATATTTTGTTTATTTTTGTATTAGGTTCATACATTTATTTAATTTTAGTTTGAAGTAATATAAACAAAAGTTTCAGCAAATAGTGCTTTTGTATATTTCGAGATATATAATTGTTTTATACATAAATATGTTTGTTTCGAGAGAAGTGACAATCACTTTGTATTAGAATAATTTCTGTTAAAAACACTACAATTTGTACAAGTTTTATTTGTATGTGTAAATTATGTAAATAGAGTAATTTGATTTTAAAATGACTTTTATTTTGTTGTTAAAATAGATTATACACGTATGAGACAAATATTAAAATGAGTTTTAAGAAGTAAACGTATTAGCAGGAATAAATAAGAAGGTAACTTCCAGGATGATGTCACTTTTACTTTACCATATTTATAATGGACAGCCAGAGTGTAACGTCATGGCGGCCATATTGTTATTATTACTTTCCAAACAAAAGTTGAAATGACCAATCTCAAGACTTTTTAATTTCTACAAAGTTAACATTTTGCTTCCTCTGCAGCTTTTTCTTTTAACCCTGGTACCTCACACTTATTTTTTAAGGCATGAACTTCACACTCGGGTCTCAGAAACCCGTTTTTTAGCAAAAAAGCAGAAAATGTGAATATTTGATGGATTTGGGAGAATATCTAATCTTAGTAGAATGTGTAGAAAAAAATTTAACCATGGTGTGGTATTTCACAAAGAGATATATTTGTTGAAATCCAAAATAACATAAAATAATATTCAAACATAAAACATTGTTATTAAAACAAATAAACATTAAATTGAAATTATCATCTACAAAATACACCTGTATAACTATCCTTGTAACAAAAAAATAAACGCTTATGGTAATATAAGTCTTAGTTATTCTTAGCCAGGTCTTCTCTTTTCTCGTCTTGTACGACCCTGCCTTGCTGGTGCTTGTGTGCTCCACCGATGACCATTTTCCCCAGTAAACTAGGAATATTTCTAACTGGTTCATCCACTATTTCGTCTTCATTGTCGCTTTGTTCACTGTTGCTGTCTGATAGTTGCTCTTCAACGTTATCTTCATCAGACTCGTCCCCTCCAAACATATCGTCTACGATGTCGTTTTCACTCTCATTCTCCCATAAATTGTCTGTCTATCTCTGTAATTCTACCTCAGTTAAAGGACGACTATTTTCTCTACTAGTTGACGCCATTATACTAAAATAAATAAAAAATAAGTTGAAACAAAATTATTACCGTAAACATCACCCTTGGGTCCGGGGTACTCATGCTTGTACTTCTGGAAATATCTTACTTCGTTGTTTCACTAAATGCAGCGGATGACCCGTATTCTAACTCGGTTTACGACAGACTGAATTTACATAAAGTGACGACACACATACACCACTCATGCGCATGTCACATTGCAATGAATGACTCTCTGGGTTTCTGAGACCCAACAGTGCAGTTCCAGGGTTAAGTATAGTGTTTTTTACGATAATACCATCATCATCCAGTGTTCTATTTCTATGAAATATAGTTTAAAAGTTTAAATTAAAGAAATTCTAACCTTACGTTATTGATACATCCATTTTATTGCTATTTTTTATAAAACAACATGCTTTATTATTTACACAACCTTGTAAAATTGTTGTAATAACTATTAGAATACTTAGATATTGCAAAAAGCGGAAAGATTCTCAAAAAAAAATAACGAAAAATACAAATTATCCACATTAAACAAGGTTTGTTTGGAAAGTAAAACTGACAGATGTCAATAAAATTTACATCACTCCGGCAGTCCATTAATGTCAATATCCATTGAAAGCGTCTCGTTCCTTGGCTTCTCGATTCCAGTTTTCCACCCTCAATATCAATGACGTGTAATATATAGACTACGCAGTCCCCTATTCTCGCTATAGAATCGAGTGTCCGAAAGATTTCGGCTCAAGGTTGAAGGTATGTTTATCAGAACAGCGGCGTGCTCATTTATATGTTAATGACAATAATTATTTTTTTAATTAAAATTAAATATTTATGATTTATTTTTGTTCCCGTTTATAAGAAATAATTATTTTGATAAAATAGTATGGCATTGTACTAAAATAGTAAGTAAATAACTCTCAACAATTTAAAATAAAATTTGCTTGTCACACAAAATGGAGAAAATGTTTTCATACGGCTATGATATTTTCAAACACAAGATCAACTTCGTGATGCTTCGTAAGAAATCATGAACTTCGTGCATCTTCGTATCAAAACAATAAACAATAACAAAGGTATTCATGTTTTGGACACTTTTTAAAGCGTTCACCGAGTCTATATATTATACGTCATTGCTCAATATCTCTTAAGCATCGATTCTCACAAAAAAAATGGCGTCCGGTATGGATAATCGCGAAATCGAGAGCGAAAAGACAATTTTACTTGTTGCAGAAATAAGAAAATAAGCACAATATGTGTAAAATGTGGAAAAACGTTCCGTAAATCATGCACGGCATTGGATTGGGCCGGAAAACTTAAAATGTTAGATGAAACACGTGTGAAAAATTACGTGAAAATACGACCATTCATCTGCTAAATGAACTAATTTGTAAGTTCAGAAGCAAAAATCAAATCCTAGAGGAAAATAATATGCTGCTGCAATAAGCAACTATGTGAAAAAGTAGAAAGCCTAAAGAAAAAATTAACAAAAGTGTCGCAAAAACTAAGAATAACAATCTATCCATTTTAGGGATTACAAGATCAGTTGACACAGTCACAGAACTTGTTCTGTGGATTTTTCTGAGCTGCCACCTAAACTAAGGACACAGAATAATAAACAAACAGAATACCCACTCTCCACGGAAAATTAAGTACGCGCATCTCCTCCGCGCAGACGTTCCGCCATGTTTTAGGAGGATTTTAAAGAAATTAGTGTTGTTTATGTGGTGTGCATGGAAAAATTAACCAGGTTTATTTGACTTACGGCAATCATAGACATACTATACAATTATATTAACATTGTTAAATATAATAACATAAATATAATATAATTAAACATAAATATAAACAATTACATAACCACACAAATCATATGTCTGTGTCCTCCTAAAACATGGCGCGCGTGCTGAAAAACTTCAAAGGCGGCATCTGAGAGTGGCCCTTCTGTTTGTTTATTATTCTGTGCCTAAACTAAGAATATCAAGTAGTTCAATTGCACCGGTGACGCCTGTTAAATATATCAACCCTCAGCTGATTGAAGATAAAAATAAATGGCTACAATCTTTCAATCAAGTAGTGATAATTTTGTTCAAATTTCGATTAATTTTAAAAAGAGTAGGGATTATGTAGAATACCATGCTAGCATATGTGGTTACTGGCTAGCTAGAATAATCTTCATTCTAATTAGGGAACTGAATTAAATAATTCGTCATCATCATCATTCTGGCTTTACAACCCTGCGTGGGTCCTAGCCCCCTAAAGAATTTTTCTCCAGTCCATGACCTTTCTCCACCAAGCACGTATTTCCAGACTTTTTAATGTCTTTATCGATGTTATCAAGGAACCTGGGTGTTCCTCTTCTTCCCTGACCAAAATGGGTCTATCAAGGAGCGTTTTTCTAGTTGGGTCATTTTGTTCCAACCGCATTACATGCCCTATCCACCTCAGGCGTTCTATCTTAAAATGTTTTACAATATCAGGTTCCTGATATAGTCTTTAAAGTTCGAAGTTGTATCGTCTTCTCCACACTCCGTTGTCATTCACTTCTCCATAGATTCGCCTTAGTACTTTTCTATTGAAATATACTAACATGTTTTCTCATTATTTTTTGTTAGGACTCCAGCTTTCTGAACTATATGTTACGACTGGGCGTATTATTGTTTTGTAGAGTTTTAATTTTGTATTTCTCAATATAATTTTGGATTTAAAGAGGAAGACTCAGCCCAATCTGTTGGCTGTGCAAATTCTGCGGTAGTATTATTTTCAATGTTAAGGAACGCTCTCAGCTATACAAATTCCGTAGGATTTGTGGTTGCGTGCTTATTTTCATATAGTTCGTTTTGTCGGTGTTTTATTATTAAACCCATTTTTGTAGCTGGTTCTTTTAATACTACATACGCCTCTCGTACAGCGTTTTCCGTTCTCCAAACAATATTGATATCATCAGCATAGGTCAGGATTTGCATTGATTTATTATATATTGAACCAGTGGTTGTGATTTGTGACATACGTATTGCTTTTTCTAGAGCCAGATTGAACAGTATACAGGAGAGAGGGTCTTCCTGGCGCAGCCAGTTATTTGTTTTAAAAAGTTTAGACAGTACCCTCTAAACTTGTTCTCTTTTTCCCTCTTAACTTTTTCAAGAGTTAATTTTGTTGAATTTACTAACTGGTTTGGTATTTCTAGCTCTTTTATTGCTTTGTAGGCTGCTTTGTAGTCTATAAATATGCGATGAGTAAAATGTCATATTCCAGTGTTTTTTTCCAAAATTTGCTTCAGGGTTGCAATCTGAATTGTCGATTTATCACCTCTGAAACCAGTCTGGTATTTTCCTACTACTCGTTCTGCATATGGTGCTATACGGTGACATAGTACTGTGGAAATTATTTTATACGCTACATTCAGAAGCGTAATGACTGTGGTTATAGCATTCAAAGATATCTCCTTTTTGTGTATGGTGCAAAGTATTCGAATATTCCAATCATTGGGGAGGTATTTATGTGTCGATATTTCTTTTATAAGCTGCTGTAATGCCATTATGGTATCATGGCCACCTTCTTTATATAGTTCAGCTGGGAGATTATCTATTCCGAGTGATTTGTTTCTGGCGGGTTTTTAACTGCATGTTTAATTTCAAGAATCGTTAGTGGATCCTCTTCCTTCTCGTCCGTTCCTCTTAGCTTATATCTTTCGTCTTCCAGGTTTTCTTCCTCTATATTAAGTGCCTGTTTAAAGTATTCCACCGATTTATTCAATACATCTTTCCTTGTTGTTAATAGGTCGCCATTCTGACTTCTACGTTGTCTTGTGGTTACCTTGAATTTTTTTCTGTTGATGTTAACTTTCTTATAGAATGTTCTGAATCCTTTTTCTCTTTTGAGGTTTTCTATATTTACGTTGCTCATTTAGGTGGTTTCGTTTTTTTCTTTTGTGTTTCCCCTTTTCTTCCCTTCTCTTTCTCTGGTAATTCTCTACAGTTGTTCTAGTTCGTTGGGGAAGCATCATTTTGTAGATTTCATTTTTTTCTTTTGTTGCATTCATCATCAAACCAATGATTTTTACAGGCACAAATT